TTCCAGATTTCTGGTTGTAAAATCATGCTAACGTGTGGAGCCCTCTCAAATTGGCCTCTCGTGTAGAGTCTCTCGCATTTTGACTGCAGAATCGAGCCGTCGCCTGAGACTTGCACACATTTTTAATCCAAAATCGAGCTCTCGCCTGAGAATTTCTATCAAAACAAGCCAAAACAAAAAAAATCAACAAACAACAAAAAATCCTAAATTAATTCTGCACCCTTGTCTCGCAGCCGGCTTACATTGGAGCGAGTTCGATTTTTTTTTGAATGGCCACAATCATTGTGGCTCTCCAGAAAGAAGCACAAGATGGCTTCGTCGCTTGGCCCCTCTTCGAAAGAGGCATAGGCTTCTTCTTCCACGTCGCCTTTCGTATGATGGATGTCATATACACGACTTCTCGCCAAGCTCTTGCTGGACCCTGTGCTGCCGGCATTCCTTTGCTGAAGGTCGCCAAAGAACTTGGATCCCAGAAGCCTGATCGTCCTGACTGTGTCCTCGTATTTGAGGTCGCCGCGGGCCTCTACCACGACCTTCTTCTTTTCCTCAGGTGTAAGCAAAGAGTGGCGCAACAAAATGTATGCTCTCGCTTCTTGGATGGTCACCTTGCGAGCAAGAAGTTCTTCAAAGAACGCGTCATGCCGAGCCAGGTATGAATCGTCGGTCTCATCGTTTTTTTGGGCAACCTGGTAGATCGTCTGCACGAAGAAGTGATATCTCTCCTCCGTCTGGGTCTTGCCCCAGGATCCACCAAGCGTCTCGTATCTTGATGCCATCTGGCTGGCGCAGCTTTTCCGGTGCCAATCGAGCAATCTTCGGGAACGCGGAGCCCTCCACTTGGAGCCCCTCGGCCCCAAAAGATGTATGTGCTCCTCTGGCCACAGTTCTTTCAAGAACTTCAACCTGCACGTACTCATCTAGCCTTGTCGTTCCAGGCACAAACTTAGGGATCTACTGCCAAGGAAGATGACTGAGAGCACTCGTTCCGCCCCCTGGGTTACCAGACGCTTCTGCTGTCTCACCCGCTGCGCCCGGTGGATCTACTTTCCCCTGTTTACACTATCTACAACCCCTGTAGATAGTGACAGGCCGGGCTCCGCTTTCAATGTGAACCTACCTAGGCCCGACCTGTCCAACCCCAGTGTCCCTACAGAACTAGAAGCCTGTGTAGCAACCCAGAACCCAGGACCCTGCCTGAAGGCTCCAAATGTCGCCCTGGTTGTCGAATATGCCCACCTGAGCCCAAAGTCTCCGAATCCTGAAGTAGCCCCAGCCAGACACACCATGTCTTTTACCAGCCAAAGCTCTGGGCCACTCCCTCCCGCCACAAGAGCTGCCGCCAAAAGGTGCCAGCAATCTTCGAAGTAAATTCATGCTAGTGCATCTACAGAGCTGGTTTAACAGGTTGAGCTGCCGACAAATGTATCTTGAAAACATGCAGCTGGCTGAACAAGCGACGCCCAAAAATTACTCAGTAATTCGTATTTTGCCCCCTAAACAAGTTGTACGTAAGGTGCAGCTAAGGGGCAGTTTATAGGTCTAGAAGAGGAGTTAGAAAGGGGACCAAAATGTCAGTGGGAAAGTCTAGAAAAGGAGTTTAAATGGAAATGTTGGCGGGAGGGTCTAGAAGAGGAGTCTAAAGGAGGACCAAAATGTTGGCGGGGGGTCCAAAAGAGCAGTTTTAGGGGAGATGTAAAAGGGGCACCGAAAAGAGCTGTCGGCGGGAATGTCGAGAAGAGGAGTTTAAAGGGAGATTTAAAGGAGGACCAAAATGTCGGGAGGGTCTAGAAGAGGCGGGACCAAGATGTCGGAGGGAGGGTTGAAAAGAGGAGTTCAAAGAGAGATTTACAGGGGACCGACAGGGTCTAGAAGAGGAGTTTAAGGGGAGATTCGAAGGCGGACCGAAACGTCGGCGGAAGGGTTTAACAGAGCAGTGTAAAAGGGAGCGAAACGTCGGCAGGACGGTTTAGAAGAGGAGTTTGAAGGGATATTAAAAGGATTTTGAAGGGAGATGTAAAAGGGGACCAAAATGTTGGCTGGAGGGTTTAGACGAGGAGCTTGAAAGAAGATTTGAAGGGGCATCGAAATGTTGGCGGGAGGGTTTTCAGCGGAGTGCGGGAGGGTCTACAAGAGGACCGAAATCTCGGCGGGAGGGTTTAGAGGAGGAGTTTCAGGGGCAACCGAGATCACAGGGACCGAAATGACGCGGCCGCCGGAGGGACGCTGTCG